CTTTTGATTAACTCCGTTCTGGGAATGCCTCCGAGCTGGTTCCTTGTGTAAGAGTAGGTAAGTAGGTACTTACTATAAATCTGCACTTAAGGCAAAGTCCTACCCATTCCCTCTGAAACACTGGAACCCCTCCCCTCCAGTATAGAACTCTTGAGTCTTGAGGGGCAGGCACCGTCTTGTCTGGCCACAGCTCGGGGTACAGATGTGGCTTCTGCTGTCAGACCCTGTTTAATGCTTCTTTCTAAGAAACTGGATTTGTCAGCCTCTTTCGCTGGCCTCTCAGCTTCCTCAGACTTTGGAGTGGGTTTGCATAGGCCTGCCCACCTCAAACAGCACTCTAACAATAACATGTAAAAGTAAACATATAATCATTTTTAAACCTTTAAATAATGTTTATTTTGCACATTTAAACATCTTATATAAAGGGTATGATATATTGAAGTTGTTTTTTAAAGAAAAATTCTGGCCAGGCACCGTGGCTCACACCTGTAATCCCAGCACTTTGGGAGGCTGAGGAAGGTGGATCATTTGAGGTCAGGAGTTTGAGACCAGCCTGGCCAACATGGTGAAAACCCGTCTCTACTAAAAATACAAAAATTAGCCGGATGTGGTGGCGCATGCCTGTATCCCAGCTACTCAGGAGGCTGAGGCAGAAGAATTGCTTGAGCCTGGGAGGCGGAGTTTGCGGTAAGCCAAGGTTGTACCAGAGTGAGACCCTGTCTCAAAAAAAAAGAAAGAAAAGAAAAAGTCTTCTCAACATGAGGTTTTTGCGATTAATCCAGGTGTGTGTATGTATGATTTTTTCCTGACTTGACTCGTTACAAAGACTGTATATGACTTTTGCAATTTATAAAATGCCTATTAACATGTGGTTTGCTTTTTCTTTTTGGTCAGGCATGGTGGCTCTCGCCTGCAATCTTAGCACTTTGGGAGGCTGAAGCGGGGTGGATCACCTGAGGTCAGGAGTTCAAGATCAGCCTGGCCAACATGGTGAAACCCCATCCCTACTAAAAAATAAAAATAAAAAATACAAAAATTAGCTGGCTATGGTGGCATGCACCTGTAGTCCCAGCTACTCTAGAGGCTGAGGCAAGAAACTTGCCTGAACCTGGGAGGCGGAGGTTGCCATGAGCCTTGACCTTGCCACTGCACTCAAGCCTGGACAACAGAGCAAGACTCCGTCTCAAAAAAATCTTTTTTTTTTTTAATTCCTGAAGGACATAAGAGAAGTCTGGAAGAAACGACAAGACATACCTTGTGTTTGGATAAGAAAATTAGACATTTTAAAGGTATCAATAATTCTTACATTTCAATCATTAAAACACTGTGGTGCTGGAACTGGAAAGGAGAAATTGATTGATGAAAAAGAATGAGGAGTCCTTGGCTGTCCCATATATACATACATACTAGAACTCAGTGTATGAAAAATTATTTTATGAATCAATGGGGTGATGTTTGACTATTAAGTAAATGACACTGGAATAACTATTTAGCTGATTGAAGGAAATTCCATGACTATTTTGCTGCACACAGCAAAATAAATTTTAGGTGATTCAAAGCATAACATTTTGATCCAAATAATAAAGAAAATAAAATAATAAAGTGGAATAGATGAAACCACTAAAAACAGGTTTCCCACCTGGGTTTCCTCATCTGAACCACACAACACAGAAAATGAACTGAGTTACTAATTTCTAAAACATCTACCAGTTCTACAAAACAGATACCATGCTGGATGTTTAAGACAGAAGTTAATTCCTTACATACAACAGGTGTAGGGAATTAGTGCTAATTCTCTCAGGAAACCGTCACTGAGAAAGGCTAAAAGACAAATAACCAACTGTCAAAAATCGTTGCAACATGTGGCTGGGCTCGGTGCTCATGCCTGTAATCCAGCACTTTGGGAGGCCACGCCCGGTGGATTGCTTCAGCTCAGAAGTTCCAGACCAGCCTGGCCCACATAGCGAAACCCCATCTCTACTAAAAATACAAAATTAGTGGGGCATGATGACATGCATCTGTAGCCCCAGAAGCAGGAGAATCACTTGAACCAAGGAGGCGGAGGTTGCAATGAGTCAAGATGGTGCCACTGCACTTCAGCCTGGATGACAGAGCAAGACTATTGTCTCAAAAAAAAAAAAAAGGTTACAACATGTATGAATAGGAATTCATATCCCTAATCTTCAGAGCTCTCAAATGCTAATAAAAAACGACTATATCAATATACAAATACACAAATCACTCAGAAGTAATACAGGAAAGAAAAAATGTAAATTGCCAATAAACATGAACTGTTTTAACTCTCTCTAGAAATTAACGAACATTTAAAAATAAACAACAAGAAGACATCACTCTCAGTTAACAAATTGTCAAAAATGGTACAGGTTAACAAGGACATGCTGAAATGAATACTCAGGTTCTTTTGGTGGAATTCAAACTAGTGTAATCTTGGGCAGTCTGGCCCAAGGACATAATTAGGTATGAGTGCAAATGTGTAATACAGATGTTGTGACTCCGGACTTTTAACTAACATATATTTAAAAACTATACACAACTTGAGTATCCATCACTAAAGGCTTGTTTAAAAATTCTATTGGCTGGGCACAGTGGCTCATGCCTGTAATCCCAGCACTTTGGGAGGCCGAGGCAGGTGGATCCCAAGGTCAAGAGATCGAGACCATCCTAGTCAACATGGTGAAACCCCGTCTCTACTAAAAATACAAAAAATTAGCTGGGCATGGTGGCGCATGCCTGTAATCCCAGCTACTCAGGAGGCTGAGACAGGAGAATTGCCTGAACCCAGGAGGCGGAGGTTGCGGTGAGCCAAGATCGCGCCATTGCACTCCAGCCTGGGTAACAAGAGCGAAACTCCGTCTCAAAAAAAAAAAAAAATTCTTCTATTGGCCAGGTGTGGTGGCTCACACCTGTACTCTCATCGCTTTGGGAGGCTGAGGCAGGTGGATCACCTGAGGCCAGGAGTTTGAGACCAGCTTGGCCAACACGGTCAAACCCCATCTCTGCTAAAAATACAAAAGTTAGGTGAAGCTGGGCTCAGTGGCTCAGGCCCGTAATCCCAGAACTTTCGGAGGCCTAGGTGGGCAGATCACCTGGGGTCACTAGTTTCAGACTAGCCTGACCAATATAGTGAAACTCCATATCTACTAAAAATACAAAAACTAACCGGGCATGGTGGCAGGCTCCTGTAGTCCCAGCTACTTGTGAGGCTGAGACAGGAGAACCGCTTAAACCCAGGAGACAGAGGTTGCAGTGAGCCAAGATTGTGCCACTGCACTCTAGCCTGGGTGACAGAACCAGACTTCATCTCAAAAAAAAAAAAAATTAGGTAGGCTTGGTGGTACACACCTATAAACCCAGCTACTCAGTTGGCTGAGGCAGGAGAGTTGCTTGAACTCAGGAGGTGGAGTTGCATTGAGCTGAGATCACCCATTGCAGCTCCTTCAAGCTGCCTCCCAATCCCTTGTCCCCTACCCCTTGCCCTGCTTCTGCGGAAGGTAACCCTGCTGTGGGTTGGAGAGCCAGGCTGCAGGCACAGGGAAACTTCCTTCCCGGTAAATGGATAGCAGGGATGGGACAGGAGAGAGGAGTTGAAGAGACGAGAGGGATGCAAAGGGAAAGGAAAAGACCCAAGAATAAAAATCATATCTAGAGACACAAGAAGTAAATATTAAAAATTTTAAAATCGGCCAGGCACAGTGGCTCATGCCTGTAATCCCAGCACTTCGTGAGGCCAAGGTGAGTGGATCACCTGAAGTCAGGAATTCGAGGCCAGCCTAGCCAACATGATGAAACCCTGTCTCTACTAAAATTACAAAAATTAGCCAGACATGGTGGTGCACATGTGTAATCCCAGCTACTCGGGAGGCTGAGGCAGGAGAATTGCTTAAACCAGGAGGCAGAGATTGCAGTGAGCTGAGATCTTGCCACTGCACTCCAGCCTGGGTGACAGAGTAAGACTCAATCTCAAAAATAAAAAGAAAAAAGAAAAATGTTAAAATATTCTTCTGTGAACCTGCCAATAAGAGAGGTAAGCCTACATATAAATAAGTAAATAATGAGTAAAATAAGTGCATCATAAGCAATATGGTATAAAAATTGTGCCATGAACTAGGTTCCATGGTGTTTCTTTTGAGAAGGCTCAGACCAAGGCATTTCCAGACAAGGCAGGTCCCTTCCTGGGAATGACCCCTTATCAGCCTCAGATGGTTTGGTCTTAGAAATGTTTGCCCTAAATAGAATGGTTTCTTCTCTGTCAGAAACCACATGTGTTAAAATGTGCCGCTGATTTAAAAAGTTAGTCAAAGGCAGATGCTGAAGACTTCTACAGGCCAAACTAATCAAACCTTATTTATGTGTTTTTTTTATAAGACATTGGAGAGCATTCCTTGATGTTCAGAAATTCCACAGGTTTGTTGGAAGTGGGACAGACTAGAGCTAAGGGAATCTATGTGGACAATAAGTCAGAAAATACAGAGCCAGAAAAAGCCAAGGGTCTGCTGGAATGGAAAGGAGGGGGCACTCTCAAGAGATGAATAAACAAAAGTGAGTGACTGATTGGGATGGCGGGTGGGCGATGGGGAAGGGATGTATAGGTAGACTCTAAGTCAAAAGCCTTACTGAAATCAGCCAGAAAGAGCTGGATGTTCTTCAGTCATGATCTCAATTAATGAAGGCCCAACATCCTAGCCCTTCAATCATCTCCACTCCCCAGAAACTGTCTCCGTCAGTATCACCCTTCACCAGGCAGCTCCATGGAGACATCTTTCCCTGCCTCTTCCAGTAGCTCACCTCCCCAGATTTCCCCCATTAATCACTGCAGTAAGAATTCACCACGATCTCCCATTTTTAAATTCCCAATCGTTGAGCTGACCCTCACCATACATCTGCTTCATGAACCACAGAAGAAAAGGAAGCCACCCCATTTCCTTGTTTTTTCACGAGAGTCACAGGCTGGGGATCACCTTAGCAGTGCTTGTTTGTCCTTAGTTCCAGGACTTGGATGGCTCAAGGCTGAGGGGGAGCATGGGAGGGGGCGGGGGGCAGGGCAGATGGCCGGAAGGGGTTGGGTTCAAGGTAGGGTACCAGTCCTCAGACTGGTGTGGCAGAGCAAAGGTGCCTCCTGTGGAGGGCTGGGAGGGGAAGGCGTGGCTGTAGGGGTGAGGGAAGCAGGTCACTGGTGGAGGTGGCGTTGTATAGGAGTAGGGGCCAGCAGGGGACTCTGGCAAGAAGCCAGAGAAGGTGGCAGGAGACAGATGGGCCAGGGGCTGGAGCAGTGAACGCTCTTGCTTCCGTTGCTTAGCTCTGCGGTTCTGGAACCAGACCTGAAAAGGGCGAGCAAACACATCAGAGCCTATGCCTCAAACAGGTGGTGACAGACACCCTGCTCCAATGACAAGAGGTGCAGGGACAGGGAGCAGGCCTCTCCAGCATGGCCAGAGGCAGTAAAGCCCTTCCACAAGGCCTGGCTGAGCCCGGTCTGCTGATTCAGGAACCCACAGACTTATCCCCAATCTGTGTCCAAATGTGCCCATTTCTACCGCTCTAGGCGAGTAAGAAATGTCAGCTTCCAACAAGGAGATGACTATGGTAACAATGATGTTTCCCTTCTCCAGAGAATGGGACGTTTCCCCTAGGGTTATGTTTAGCCATTAAGACTGGATAAATCTAATTATTATAGACAAGTTTGGATTTAGGGTAGGGTTTACCCTTACGGCTAACCAACTCTGTGGTTAGGATTGAGGGAGCATCGGGCCGGATGAGTTTCAAGGCTATGGTTAGGGACAAGGTTCAGTTAGGATTGAATTTCTGTTGGAATTGGCATCATTATTGTGGTTCTTTTTTTTCTTTTGAGATGAAGTTTCGCTCTTGTCACCCAGGCTGGAGTGCAGTGGCATGATCTCGGCTCACCGCAACCTCTGCCTCCTGGGTTCAAGCAATTCTTCTGCCTCAACTCCCAGAGTAGCTGGGGTTACAGGCACCCACCACCATGCCCGGCTAAGGTTTTTGTATTTTTAGTAGAGATGGAATTTTGCCATGTTGGCCAGGCTGGTCTTGAACTCCTGACTTCAGGTGATCCACCTTGGCCTCCCAAAGTGCTGGGATTACAGGCATGAGCCACGTCACCCAGCCAGAATTGGCATCACTATTAAAAATTGGGGGAAGGCGTTGAAATTCAAGTTAGATTAGCTTACAGCTAGGGTTAAACTCAAGGGATATTCTCGATGCAGATGCTCTGATGCTGGTGGTCAGATGAGGCCTGTGTTCTGGTGACCATTTTGCTTAGGCTTATAATGCCTAACATTCTATGAAAGCACCAAAGAAATCTGCATTTCTTCCCTGAGGGAGGAGGGATCCTGAGCATCACCTGGATTCGGGCCTCACTGAGACCAGTGTCCCGGGCGAGACTCTCTCGGGCCCAGATGTCTGGGTACTGGTTCCTTCCAAAGGCTGACTCCAGCTGTTCGAGCTGCACTGCGCTGAAGGTGGTGCGGTGGCGACGCCGGGAGTGTGGGTGGCCCCTCTGTCCTCCTTGCGGGGAGAACCTTGGTCTCCCTACTCCTGCACTGGGGAGCTTCCTGGAGGGTGGAGCACTCAAGTCTGAGGAGGGAGAGAAGGGAGAAGCAGCTTCTGAGTAGGACGCTCCTCGGTGCTGGACCACATGCACCAGTCCTGGATTCCGCTCAATGCTTCCTGTGCAGCTCCACTCTTACTTTATTTTCTCTTTTTTTGAGACTGAGTCTCACTCTGTCACCCAGGCTTGAGTGCAGTGATGTGATCACAGCTTACTGCAGCCTCAAACCCCTAGGATCCAGTGACCCTACTGCCTTAGCCTCCCAAGTAGCTGGGACTACAGGTGTGCACCAACACACCTAACCAATTTAAAAAAATTTTTTAGAATGGGGCCTTGCTCTGCTGCCCGGGCTGGTCTCAAACTCTTGGGCTCAAGCAGTCCTCCCATGTTGGCCTCTTAAAGTGCTGGGATGATAGGCCTGAACCACCACACCCAGCCCTGCCTCACTTTCATTTGCCTTGCCCCACCAGGAATCTTTTAACTGCCATAGCCTGGTTCCTGCACCCTGCTCAGCCTCGGCCCCTGGTTGCCTCTTAGTCCCTGACACCAGACTGTGCTGTCTACATAGGGCACACCCTCAGACTCATTCCTGGCCCCAGTGCCTCACGCCCCGTCTACATGCAACTCTGTCATCTGCCCACTTCCTAATGCACCTCCAGACACATGCCCCGCCATGTGCATTCCCCTGTTTGGACACACACGACCACCTGAGGCTCACTCTGCGGGTCTGCTGCCTGGACCTGCACCCAGCAACCATCCCAGCTGCTCACGGAAGATACCAGTGCTTGTCCCCGGCTGGCGAGGCTCATGTTCAACTTGCGCTTTCTTCAGACTGCTGCCATCCTCCTGCACCCCTCACCTGGGAAGATGAGCACCCCCCTTTCCACCCAGACATACCCTCCCTACTTACTTTTCATCTTCTTCGGACCCTGCCCTGGCCCAGCCACCAGGCTGCAGGAACTTGAGCTCGTGGGAAAGGCTTGCCTCTCCTCCCCACAGGCTCCCTAAGCCCCCACACTAATTAGTCTGAGAGCTGCTGGGAGGAGAGAATAGGGAGGGAAAAGGACACACCTGGAGGGTGCATACCAAGAAAAGATGTCTGGAGCTGAGGCACTATCCCCATGGGGACCCAAGGGTGCGGCCCCTCCTAAAGCTCACTGTCCACCATGGGGACACACACACTGAGCCTGCTCTCCCTGGACCCAAAGCTCTGGCCCCTCCAGCTCCCTTCATCAGAGAAGGTAGTGCCCTGGGCTAACAAACTTTGAGGTCAGGAGTGAGGGGACAGAGGCAGCTGCCTCACACCTGCACTGCGATGAGAGCTGTTCGGCCGCCCCTCCTTCCAAAGGCTCAGTTCCCCAGTCTATAAAGCCAAGGGGTGCTCTGGTCCCTTACTTTCGAAGGTTCCCACAGTTTTCACATGCTAGATTCTGGGTTTATTTTTATTTATTTATTTATTTTTTGAGATGGAGTCTTGCTCTGTAGCCCAGCCTAGAATGCAGTGGTGCGATCTTGGCTCAGGGCAACCTCCACCTCCCGGGTCCCAGTTCAAGCAATTCTCCTACCTCAGCCTCCCAAGTAACTGGGATCACAAGCACGAGCCACCATGCCCAGCTAATTTTTCAGTTTTTTAATAGAGACAGGGTTTCACCATGTTGGCCAATCTGGTATTGAATTCTTGACCTTGTGATCCGCCCACCTCGGCCTCCCAAAGTGCTGGGATTACAGGCGTGAGCCACCACGCCCGGCCCAGATTCTGTTTTTAACTCCTCCTCCTAACCTTCACGGAGCCTATGCTTTGAGCCTCACACCCGCTGCCTCCTCAGGGACCCAGGCACTCTGGGACAGTCACTCACCCACCATGGTGGTCAGGGTCCCGGCGGCCGGGTGTCTCTCCAGCAGGAGGCTGCTGCAGACTCGCCCCTTCTCCGGCTTCCCTGGCAGGCTCCTCCTTTCTGCTTCCATGGCTCACCGTGGGGACCAAGTGTCCCTGAATCTCTGATTCAAGATTCCTCTGCTTCGCAGGTCCTCCCCACACCTGCTGTCCCCCCACTTCTCCCTCTGGGTATGCCACTCCCTGGGTCTCTGTCTCTGAATGTGTGTGTAGGTGCAGGTAGCTATCTTGGACTTTTTTACTGTCTCTGCGTTTTTTCTAATTATTTCCTAATTCCCCATTCCTTGGCTTGAGTGTCATCTCATTCTCCTGGCTTGGCCTCACCGGTTGCTCTGTTTCTGACCCTACTTTTCTCTGCCTGCCCCTTCTCTCCACCGGGATGCTGCTCTGTTCCGTCAGCTGCCTATTTTCCCATACCACCCCTCAGTCTTGGAGGAGTGACCTCCTCCTCGCCCCTGTGGGCCCATCCAATCACCACACGGTCACCAGAGCCCCCTTGCTCAGGGAGGATCACAAGCCGGATGAGGGAAGGTGTTCTGTCGGAGGGTCCAGGGACTGAGGCCAAGGGCTCATATTCCCAGAGGACCGGATTCTTTTGTCCTGTTAAATCCCCTCCTGGGAGCAGGCAGGGAGAGGAGGAGAAAAATGCATTCCTCCTGAGACCCCTCCTCAGAACCCCACTGTGGGTAGAGGAACAAAGAATGGGGGAAGGGGACCCAGGATCGGGGCCTGCCTGGTATCTCAGTATGGGGGTGATACCCAAGGACCTGTTTCCAGGAAATTAAGAAAGGAGAGTCACAAGTGCATGCCAGCCCCTCTTGGATACCCTGATAGTTCAGAATGCACCAGCCACTGCTCAGGCCGACCTGAACCCGCTCAGGAGAATGGGCCTCCAGGACACCTTAGCTCTCAAGTACTCTCTGATTTCCTCCCTCAAACACCACCTCCTCATTCACCCAGGACCCCCAGGACACCATAACCTTCCAAGGTCACCCGGACCCTCTGAAAACCCTGACCTAAGGAACACCTGCATTCCAGATGCATCCTGACCCCCACCCCACCTCAGACTTCAGGACTCGGAAAGAGACTGAGATTCCCGTGACACACTACATTCTGATTCTTCAAGGAAATCCTGACACCGGGAATCCCTGAGCAGTCAGGATGGCCCAGTCCCATAGTCCTCTGCCCCTTGAGGTTACTTAGACCCAGAAAGTACATTCTGACATCCCCAGGACACCCTGACCATTTAAGAACAGTGTGACAGCCCAGGACCTTAGGATCCCCCAGGACACACTGACACCCAAACACTTCACCTCTACTTCTCAGGCCACACTGACCTGATGAGGACACATGGACCCCCCCTGGAACACACTGTGCCCACAGGACAGTCTGATTCCCACAGTCATGCCGTCATACAGGTCCTTTAGAAACATCCTGATGATTCAAGACAGGAAATCAGAATCCTTTAGGATCTCAGTGCTTACAGTGTGGTCCATGGATCAGCAGCAGCAGCAGCAACGGGAGTATGTTGGAAATGCAGAACCCGGGGCCCCAACTCCATCCCACTGAGTCACAGTCTGCACTGTAACAAGATCTCCAGGGGAACCGAGTGTATGTGGGTCTTAGTCAGCTGGGGCTGCCTTGACAAAATAGCAGAGACTGTGTGGCTGAAACAGTAGACTTACTGCTCGCAGTTCTGGAGGCTGGAAGTCTAAGATCAAGGGGTCGGCCTATTAGGTTCACCTATGAGGGCTTTCTTCCTGGCTTGCAGGTGGCTGTCTTCTCACTTGCCTTCACATGGCAGAGAAAGAACCAGATCTGGTTTCTCTTCCTTTACCTGTAAGGACACTATTCCCATCATGGGGTCTCACCCTAATGAACTCATCTAAACCTAATCACCTCCCCAAATCCCCACCTTCACATACCATCACATTGGGTGTTAGGACTTCAACATGAATTTTGGAGGGACACAAACATTCAGTCCATACCAACAGTGAAGTTGAGAAGTACTGCTCTAATACCAATCCTTCTCCTCCTACCCTATGACACACTATGACCCCCTAGAGCACCCTGAACCCCACGGCAGTCCTAACATAGCAAGACCCAGTGACATGCAGTCAGCTCGGACTCACAAGAGAAACTGAATTACAATGCACCCTACTGCCTGGGAGTACCCATTTCTGGCCCTGTCAGGTCCTTGAATCCCAAGAGCACTGAGGATACATTCACTCTCTAGGATACACAGACCCTCCAAGGGGCAGTGACCTCAGTACCTTAAAGTCACCATGATAGCTTGGGCTCACATGGACTCCATGACCCTCTAAGACACCCAGACCACAAGGACATGGTGAGATTTGGGAAATTCTAACCTTTTAAGGAATTCCTGACCTTACAGAATCTAGACAGTCAAGGGTATCTTGTCTTCCTGCCAATTAAGAGCCCCTCGCTTGCTTGAATCTTCCAAAGTGAATACTGACACTGAAAAACCACTCAGTGTGGTTTTTCCCAAGCCAGGAAATACCGTGACCACACTCGCCTGACCCGCAGAACATGCTGACGAAGTAAAGACATATCCTGGCCTACCAAAGCACTCTGACCATCCAACATACCTTTAACACATGGGATGTCTTAATGCCAGCACTCTCCAACCTTCCAGTGTACTCTGGATGTCTCAGCCCTAGAGTTGTCAGTAGGCACCCTAATCACTGTCACTGCTCACCTTCCCAACATGCAGACAGCCCAGCACAACTTCAACTAGGACCCCCTGGATCCAACAGGCGATTATTCTAAGCCTCAAGAAATTCTGTCCTCTCAAGGGTTCTATTCCCTGCAAGACACTCCGTAGAATACATATCCCCAGAACTGCGAGAATATGGTGACTTCCTGCATACTCTCACCCCTGCCTAGCACACTCTGCTCATCTAGAACCCCCTGACTTCCTAAAAATGCTCTGATTGTACAAGATACCTTGACACTCTACTCCATGATAGGTCCATTCAAGTCTATCCAAACCTTCAAGGACCACCTGAGCTCCAGAAAACCTTGATCTCTCACATTCAGATACCAAAAGGATATGCTGACCTACCTGGAAATCTTCACAGCTCTGACTCCCAGCACGTCTAGGAGTTTCTGAATCACACAGCCAGACCAACCTTCAAAACATGCATACGAGCAATGTGATCTTCCAGAACAGGCTGACCTCAAAGCCGGTGATGATGTAAGGATACTTCAAGTGTTCTGACATAATAAAAATGCCTGTAGGCCCAGAACACCTGCCTGCCTTGATACCCTGTCTGTCCAATACCCCTGCCTTCCCAGGATTCTCCAAGTCACCCAGACTCTCTGACTTTCACTGTTAAGATCTCATCTGATCCTATGTGGTTTCTTGGAATCCTCTAAATATCCTGTTCCCCAGGGTCCTCTGACCTTTTAGAATCCTACAAGATGCCAGGCATGGTGGCTTATGCCTGTCATCCCAGCACTTTGGGAGGCTGAAGCAGGTGGATAACTTGAGGCAAGGAGTTCAAGACTAGCCTGGCCAACACGGTGAAACCCTGTCTATTAAAAATACAAAAAAAAAAGTAGCCAGGCATGGTGGCACATGCCTGTAGTCTCAGCTACTCAGGAAGCTGACGCTGGAGAATCGCTTGAACCTGGGAGGTGGAGGTTACAGTGAACCAAGATCATGCCACTGCACTCCAGCCTGGGTGACAGTGAGACTCTGTCTTAAAAAAAAAAAAAAGATCCTACGAGGCAAACCCAGAAGACACTATTCTGACCATACAAGGACCCCCTGAGTCTCCAGTGGATGAGGTCTCTATGAGGACACACTGATTGCCCTGAATACCATAAATCCTAGCTTACTGTGAGCACATGAACACCCTACCTTCTAGGTTATTCAACCCTATAGGATCATGTGTGTGTGTGTGTACACACACACATATATGTATACACTTTTTTTTTTTTTTTGAGACGGAGTTTTGCTCTTGTTACCCAGGCTGGAGTGCAATGGCGTGATCTCGGCTCACTGCAACCTCCGCCTCCTGGGTTCAGGCAATTCTCCTGCCTCAGCCTCCCGAGTAGCTGGGATTACAGGCACGTGCCACCATGCCCAGCTAATTTTTTGTATCTTTAGTAGAGACGGGGTTTCACCATGTTGACCAGGATGGTCTCCATCTCTTGACCTCATGATCCACCCGCCTCAGCCTCCCAAAGTGCTGGGATTACAGGCTTGAGCCACTGTGCCCGGCCATGTATACACTTTTTTTGAGACAAGGTCTTGCTCTGTCACCCAGGCTGCAGTGCAGTGGTGTGATTATAACACACTGCAACCTCACACTCCTGGGCTCAAGTGATTCTTCCACCTCAGCCTCCTGAATGACTGGGACAACAGGTACGCACCACCACATCCAGCTAATCAGATGCAGTCTCACTACAATGCCCACGCTGCCCAGAGGAAGAGCTTAGTGTACCAAGTCACTCTGATTCCTAGAGCATTCTAGTCATCCAAAGTTACTTAGACCTTCCAGTGCCTCTGACACCTCAGGAAACTCCAGCCCCATCAGGACACCATCCCTACCTAGTCAACTGTGATGCTGCAGAAAACTTTTTGAACAGGAAAGAAATTCTGCCCCTTAAGGACACTCCGATCCTAGAAGAACATCCTGCAGGTTGGGTTGTCTGAATTCAAATTCTAGAACCAGCCCTTACTTGCCGTGTGAACATGAACACGTTATTTCATCACTTGAAGCCTCACCTTCCTCATTTGTAAAACGATCACAATACTAGAACTTTCCTTCTGTGTTCAGGCAGATATGAAGAATGCCTTATGAAGACGCTATCAAAGAAAGGAATTCAAGTTTTTGTTTAGCTCGTCTGTTCAGAGAAGAGAATGTAAAGACACTAGTATATTGAAATAAGGAAATACATTAGACATATGAGTAGAATGAGGTCCTGGAAGTCAGATGTTAATCTTAGCAAAGAGAAGAGAATAGGCTCATATTAATATAATTTATCACATCAACCAATTAAACAACCATATGATTATCTAGTATTTGATAAAACTCAACATTTATTCAATATTTTTTGAGACAAAGTCTCATTCTGTCACCCAGGCTGGAATGCAGTGTTGTAGTTTTGGAATCACTGTAACCTCTGCCTTGAGGGTTCAAGTGATTCTCCTGCTTCAGCCTCCTGAATAACTGGGACTACAGGTGCCTGTCACCAGGCCCAGCTAATTTTTGTATTTTTAATAGAGACAGGGTTTCATCATGTTGGTCAGGTTGGTATCAAACCCTTGGCCTCAGGTAATCTGCCTGCCTCAGCCTCCCAAAGTGCTGGGATTACAGGCATGAGCCACCACGCCTGGCCTAAACTATTTTTTGTGAGACAAAAGTCTCACGCTGTTGCCCAGCTGGAATGCAGTGGCACGATCTCAGCTGACAGCAGCCTCTGCCTCCTGGGTTCAAGCAATTCTCTTTCCTCAGCCTCCCCAGTAGCTGAGATTACAGGTGCATGTCACCACTCCTGGCTAATTTTTGTGTTTTTAGTAGAGACAGGGTTTTGCCATGATGGCCAAACTGGTCTCAAACTCTGGCCTTAAGTGACCCAGCCACTTCAACCTCCCAAAGTGCTGGGATTACAGGTATGAGCCACTACGTCTAGCCTTATTCAAAAATTTTAAATGACATAGCTATTAGTAAAATATTTAATAAAAGCTATCCATTAAAACTTACAAGATATTTTGATAAAAGTGATCTGTCAAATACTTGCTATTCTTAAATGACAAAATGTAACTAGCATCCTCCTAAAATCAGAAGAAACACAGGGTTGGCTGCCTTTACTCCCTCTATGCAGCACTGTGTAATGTCCCAGCCAATCCAACTAGATAAGATAAAAATAAGAGGTATAAGGATTTGAAAGAAAGAAAATTGTTTTCATTATTTGTAGATCATATCTTTGTCATATAAAGCATTCAAGAGCATGTACATAAAACTGTTAGAACAAGACAGATCAACACATTTCTAAATACAAGATTTAAAACAAAATCAATTACATTTACATATATCAGCAATAGCCAATTAAATAATGCAATAGAAAAAAATTCACAGTAGTACATAACTAGCAATATTACCAAACATTTGTAAGAAACTTAGAGAATAGGCCGGGCTCGGTGGCTAACACCTGTAATCCCAGCACTTTGGGAGGGTGAGGCAGGCGGATCACGAGGTCAAGAGTTCACGACCATACTGGTCAACATGGTGAAATCCTGTCTCTATCAAAAAAAACCAAAAAACAAAAAACAAAAATTAGCTGGGCATGGTGGCTCGTGCCTATAGTCCCAGCTACTTGGGAGGCTGAGGTAGGAGAATTGCTCGAACCGGGACCCAGGAGGTGAAGGTTGCAGTGAGCCAAGATTGTACCACTGCACTCCAGCTTGGGGTACGGAGCAAGACTCCATCTCAAAAAAAAAAAAAAATTTAGAGGATAAAGAAGTTATAAAAATGATACTAGGCCAGGCACAGTGGTTCACATCTGTAAATCCAGACCTTTGGGAGGCCAATGCAGGTGGATAACTTGAGGTCAGGGGTTCGAGAGCAGCCTGGCCAACATGGTGAAACCCTGCCTCTACTAAAAATACACACACAAAAAATTGCTGAACATGGTGGTGTGCACCTGTAATCCCAGCTACTCAGGAGGCTAAGGTAAGAGAATTGCTTGAACCCAGGAGGCAGGCGTTGCAGTGAGCCAAGATTGTGCCACTGCACTCCAACCTGTGCAACTGAGCAAGACTCCATCTCAAAAAAAAAAAAAAAAAACACGAAAAACAAAAAATTATACTGAAGGACATGAAAGATAACTCACAAATTAGAAGATGCTCCATTGACAGAATACTCAATATTGAAGGGTGTCAATTCTCCTTCAAGTTAATCTATACTTGATATAATGTCAGTCAAAATCTAAAAGCTTTGTCATAGATTTTGAATGCCTGATTTTAAAATATGTATGGAAAAGTAAAGGTGCAAAAAAGCCAAAATTATTTTAAAAACAAACAAAATCAGACAAACAAAAAACAAGAAGAAGGAATTTGTCCTCCCAAATATCAAAAGGGTTTTAGAGGTGGAATTTTCCTTTTTTCTTTTTTTGAGATGGAGTCCCACTCTGTCGCCCAGAATGCAGTGGTGTGACCTCGGCTCACTGCAATTTCTGCCTCCCGGGTTCAAGTGAGTCCCTGCCTCAACCTCCCAAGTAGCTGGGATTACAGGCGTGTGCCACCACACCCGGTTAATTTTTGTGTTTTTAGTAGAGACAGGGTTTTGCCATCCTGGTCAGGCTGTTTTGGAACTCCTGACCTCAGGTGATCTGCCAGCCAAGGCCTCCCAAAGTGCTGTGATTACAGGCATGAGCCACCAAAGACAGATTTGGGCAGAAATATTTAATAGTAAAGAGGATTAACAGAGCAGAACAGAGGGTCCTGAAACAGAACCAATAAAAGATGAAACCTTAATATATTATGGAGTAAACATTATTAAACAACAAGGAAATGATTCCACAAGGATGTTTTATTATTATTTAGCTAGCTTTCCACATGAAAAAAAGTTCAATAGAAATGCACGAACATTCCACTGGCCATTTAGGTCAAAATAATTATCAGATGGATTAATGACCTGATGTGAAAAATAACACCCCACAACCAATAGAAAAAAAATTATGGAAGAACACATTTGGAGGGTAGGTTAAAGAAGAATTTCTTAAGATATCAAAATCAAAATTCTGAGGATATTTCAGTTAATTTGATTGCATCATATAAAGCGTTCTGTATGACAAAAGGCAGTAAGACAGCTTACAGAGGGAAAGCCGAAACCCGAAAAGGAACCTGTGGCATATGTAAAACACAGGGGATTAAAATCCAAAATATGTAAAAAATAAAACAAATTAATAAGAAAAAGATAAACAATCTATTAGCAAATGGGAAAAGGACATGAAAGAGCAATTTGGAGAAGAAAATACAATTTCCAATGAATGCATGAAAAGATGCTAAATTTCCCTATTAAGAAAATAAGAAAAATTAAAATTAAAGGAGAGCTACTGTTTCACAGCCATCACAGAGGCAGAAATGAAAACCAAATGACAATGTCATCTGTTGGCAAAAAGCTGGAGAAAGAACACCTGTGCCACCTATTAACTGGTGAGAGTAAATTGTTACAAAAAAATTTAGTAAAATTGAATTCAAAAAGCCACCTTCATCACCCAGTACTTCCTCATCTATTGAACATAAGAAATTGCTATTTTTGTAGGTCAAAAAATTGGTCAAACAGCAGTTTCAGATGGTTCAACCTCATTGTTGTATATGTTAGAATTCTCCCTGCCATGGAGGATGTATGTACACTGCATCATTAATTTTTAAAAATTTCTTAAGTTTTTAAAGTTTTAATTTTGTAGAGATGTCGTCTCACTATGTTGCCCAGGGTTGCCTGGAACTCCTGGGCTGAAAGGGTCCTCCTTCCTTGGCCTCTCAAAGTGTTGAGATTACAGGTATGAACTACTGTGCCCTGCCACCATCACTTTTAATATTAAAAATTGGAGCAATCCAAATTTTTTTTTGAAACAGGGGCTTGCTATGTCACCCACACCGGAGTACAGTGGTGTAATCACAGCTCACTGCAGCCTCCACCTCCCAGGCTCAAATGATCCTCCGACCTCAGCCTCTGTAGTAGCTGGGATTAGAGGCACTTGCCACTACGCCCTGCTAATTTTTGTATTTTTAGTAGAGGCAGGGTTTCACCATGTTGGCCAGGATGGTCTTAAACTCCTGATCTCAAGTGATCCACCTGTCTTGCCTCCCAAAGTGCTGGGATTACAGGTGTGACCCACCGCTTGTGACTTCATGCTGAAAAATTGAGTCATCTGTGTCATAAGCAGCTCTTGAGGGTGTGCCAGCCACTCACTGGGCCATCTTAATTCAGGTAGATAAGCCTAGATTGGATGAGGACCTCATCCTGGATCCTTAGGGTGGGATACAATTTATACAGATGGTTGTTTCTTGGGCATTAGTGAGATCTGTTACAGGTTGAACTGGAGAGTCAGTAGAGTCATCAACAGATGGAGGTTTCTGATGACAGAGCCAACAATTAGTAAAATTCCCCTGTGGGGAGGGTCTGGAAAATGGAATTATCCTTCCAGGAAAAAGAAGAAAATAAAGCAAGAATTAGAACTGAGAAAAGGGTGTATAGGCCTGTTCTGGACATCTTGGGAGAAGCCATTTCCTCAGAGGCTATCTGCTTCACATCCTAGACATTTTTAGTTTTAATATGTTGACAGGAGCACAAGTCCACACTTAGGAGCTGGGTTTGGGGTGTTTATTTTTATTTTTTTCTCTTATCTTTTGTTGATTTGCAATAGTTGTACATATTTTGGAGGTGCGTGTGATATTTTAAAACCTGTATACAATGTGCAATGATCAAATTAGGGTAATTGGGATACCTATCCTCATTTATCTTTTCCTTGTGTTGTGAACATTATCATTCTTCTAGCTATTTTGTATTGCAATAAACTATTATTAACTATCATTTCCTTACTGTACTATCAAATACTAGAATTTATTCCTGCTATCTACTTGTACCCTTTAACCAGCTTCTCTTTGTCCTCCCTCCCCCATCTCTTCGTAGCCTCTGGTACCCACCATTCTATTCTCTACCTCTGTGAGATCCAATCTTTTGGCTTCCACATATAAGAGAGAACATGTGATATCTTTTTCAGATGAGATGCATGTATCCAGGAATCCATGCCTTTGCATTTGGCTATGCAGAGGTTGGTCAGCTGCACCTGGTGTGCACGTTTCTAGTGAAGTTGGAGGGAATCCTTTTGTAAATGTCTTTTCCAATAGACAACAATATCCTTGCTGTAGGTTGTGGTGTTTTAGGTCTTTGTCTCCTGGGAGCACACTGTAGAAAGACTGATGAGAGTTTATATAATCTGAGGGGTCCTCGAGGTCAGAAGCATTCTAGGCAGGGCTTTTGGCCATGGCAAATGTAAGGTTTCCATCAACTTTGCCAGTTGAGTCTTAAGAGGACTACTGGTGTGTTCCACTCGTCCAGAGCACTAGGGATGATAATCACAATCGAAGTGTTGTACAATGTAAATATGCCAGAGAGCACATGCATGTTTTATAACTTGTCCTGTAAGACAAGCTTCTCATTCACTGTGAAGTTCAAAGGGGTTACCCAGGTAGGGATTATCTTCTCTAACAGGGCGTTGGCCACTGCTAAGGCAGTGGCTCATCTACAGGAGATGCCTTCAACCTAACAGGAGAACATACGGTGCAAAACTAAAACATCGTTGTATTCAAACAAGGGAGGTGGCTGGTTAAAAATATATCCTCCAGGTCTTTCATGGCCCATCAGGGAGGTTAAAATGGCCCAGAGTTAGCTGCCATGGTGGCACGAGCCTGTACTCCTAGCTGCTTGGGAGGCTGAGGCAGGAGGATCACTTGAGCCCAGGAGTTTGGGGTTACAGTGAGGTATGATCACACAACTGCACTCCAGCCTGGGAAACAGAGCAAGATCCCGTCTTAAAAAAGAAAAATAAATGGCCAGAGGCTATGTGCACTGGCTTTCTAGGATTGAATTTAGGATGGGTGGGGCAGACTACATAAGCATTTTTGGCTGATTTATTGATGTTACCCCACCAGTATTGTTTCATAAAAGTAATAATCTGTAGGCAAGGACTTCATGACCAAAACACCAAAAGCATTGGCAACAAAAGCCAAAATAGACAAATGGGACCTAATCAAACTCCACAGCTTCTGCACGACAAAAGAAACAGTCACTAGAGTGAATCGGCAACCAACAGAATGGGAAAAAATTTTTGCAGTTTACCCACCTGACAAAGGGCTGATATCCAGAATTTACAAAGAACTCAAACAGATTTACAGGAAAAAAACAAACAAGCCCATTCATAAGTGGGAAAAGGATATGAACAGACACTTTACAAAAGAAGACATACATGAGGCCAACAAACATATGAAAAAATGCTCATCATCACTGGTCATCAGAGAAATGCAAATCAAAACTACATTGAGATACCATCTCACGCCAGTTAGAATGGCAATCATTAAAAAATCTGGAGACAGCAGATGCTGAAGAGGATGTGGAGAAATAGGAACACTTTCACACTGTTGGTGGGAGTGTAAATTAGTTCAACCACTGTGGAAGACAGTGTGGCGATTCCTCAGGGACCTGGAAATAGAAATTCCATTTGACCCAGCAATCCCATTACTGGGTATATATCCAAAGGACTATAAATCATTCTACTACAAGGACACATGCACACGAATGTTCATTGCAGCACTGTTTACAATAGCAAAGACCTGGAACCAACCCAAATGCCCATCAATGATAGACTGGACTGGGAAAATGTGGCACATATACACCATGGAATATTACGCAGCAATCAAAAATGATGAGTTTGTGTCCTTTGTAGGGACATGAATGAATCTGGAGAACATCATTCTCAGCAAACTGACACAAGAACAGAAAATGAAATACCGCATACTCATAGGCGGATGATGAACAATGAGAACACGTGGACACAGGGAGGGGAGCACTACACACTGGGGTCTATTGGGGGGAATAGGGGAGGGACAGCCGGGGGTGGGGGGGAGTTGGGGAGGGATAGCATGGGGAGAAATGCCAGATGTGGGTGAGGGGGAGGAAGGCAGCAAATCACACTGCCACGTGTGTACCTACGCAACTATCTTGCATGTTCTGCACATGTAACCCAAAACCTAAAATGCAATAAAAAAAAAAGTAATAATCTTTTCTTTTGCCCATAACTTAAATTGTATACTGTAGTTAATAACGGAAACTTCACCGGGCATGGTGGCTCATGCCTGTAATCCCAGCACTTTGGGAGGCAGAGGCAGGAGGATCACTTGAGGTCAGGAGTTCAAGATCAGCCTGACCAACATGGTGAAAACCCATCTCTTTTAAAAATACAACGTTAGCCAGGCATGGTGGCTCATGCATATAATCCCAGCTACTCCAGAGGCTGAGGCAGGAGAATCACCTGAACCCAGGAGGCAGAGGTTGCAGTCAGCCGAGATCATGCCATTGCACTTCAACCTGGGCAACAAGAGTGAAACTTTGTCTCCAATAATAATAATAATAGAAACTTCACGGTGTCTGGCAGGAAAGGTTTTTTTCCTTTGTTTGTTGTTTGGTTTTGGGCCAAATCAGGTTCCTCTTTATCATTAAACCAGCAGTCATTATTTTTTCAATTTTCTTCTTCAGCCTCTGGTGCTCAGTTCTGTGCATCTTTAGTAATTGTTTTATTATCAGCCTTTGGGAATGTTTTTAGCTGAGCCATGACCGAGATTTGATCAGTGGGACATAGAAGGGCAGCGTTCTTTGCTTCATTATCAGCAAGGTGATTTCCTCTAGCTTCCACAGAGTCTAGTTTCCAGTGGCCTGGAAGCTGCTGTATTGCATCTAATAATTCTTGTACTTAAAGCTCATTCTTTATTTCATCTTCATTGAAAGTGAGAAAACCTCTTTGCTTTGACAACATTCCAAAATCATCAGCAACTGCGAAGGCATACCTACTGTCAGTAAAAGGTTTACAGTCTTTCTCTTAATAATGAGTCAGGCTCGAGTTGAGAGCAAACAGCTCTGCCTATGGGGCTAAAGTGGCTACAGGCAAAGTAGCTGCTAACACAACCTCAAAGGCATAGTGACTGTGTAGCCTGCACTGGGCCTACCAGCATCATTCTTTCCATGTGAGCCATCTGTGCACCAGGAGAGCCAGCACTGCCCATCGAGGTGGTCTGTCAGAGTTGGCAGCCGTGTGGTGTCTGGCCTGAAGGAGAGGGGAGGAGAGTCATGGGATTAAGGTTGTTGCCCGTGAGTGAGACGGACGGTGGGCAGCAAGTAGGCAAAGCTCGTAGGAAGTGAGGCTGGCAGGAAGATGCTGGGCATGGTGCAAGTGTGAGAGCATACAAAGCTAGAGGCTCATGTACAGTTGAGGGGTCCCGTGGCTGACTCCTCAGTGGCCTTGACTAACAGGGCTACAGTGGGAACTGCTGTTAGACGGGGGATTTCCATGGGCCACAGGACCCCATCGTGGACTATAGTTTCTTAGAGGATGGTGCTGGCCTCAATGCATGTGGGTTAAGATCCCAGAGTGGTTTTTTCCATTTCGTACACAAAGAGGAGAAAACATTTACAATTAGGATGACCTAGAGCCGGAGGATTTACCAATTTCCTCTTTAGTTTGTTAAGAGCTTAATCTTCAGATTCTGTCCAAATAATGAGGTCAGGTTAGATAACTTTTAAAAAGGCAGTCAGGGGCCGGGCGCGGTGGCTCACGCCTGTAATCCCAGCACTTTGGGAGGCCGAGGCGGGTGGATCATGAGGTCAAGAGATCGAGACCATCTTGGTCAACATGGTGAGACCCCGTCTCTACTAAAGATACAAAAAATTAGCTGGGCATGGTGGCGCGTGCCTGTAATCCCAGCTACTCGGGAGGCTGAGGCAGGAGAATTGCCTGAACCCAGGAGGCGGAGGTTGCGGTGAGCCGAGATCGCGCCATTGCACTCCAGCCTGGGTCACAAGAGCGAAACTCCATCTCAAAAAAAAAAAAAAAAAAAAAAAAAAAAAAGGCAGTCAGGGCTTGGGCCGCAAGAGGAAAGTCAGGGGCTCTGTGAGGACAATAACCAGTAAGCCCAAGAAACCCATGGGGTTGGTGTTTGGGTTTTGGCTGAGGAAACTGCAAAATGCCTTGAATCCAGTCTGGGGCTCGACGCAGTCCAGCGCTCGGCCTGAGATTCTCCTAGCTGCCTTTCTCTCCAGGGCCTTCATGACCTTTGGCAGCCAGTTGCTTTGGCAGATGGGCACTGTCTTTTCCACAGATTGCCTGGGAAAAAGAGGCAACCTGGGAAGGAGAGAAAGAAGGAGGTCATCTCTATATTGTAGTAAAGTGAAGCCTTGGGAAATCCCATATCTTCCAAGTCGGCCTCTAATATTCGAGAAAAATAGGGAGGGCTCTCAGTAAAATCCTGGGGCCTTCCTGTCCAGGTGAGCTGCTGGTCTCCCCAGGTGAAGGCAAAAGATTCTGGCTGCCTGACCCACTGGCATACTGAGAATGCACTGCACAGCTCAGTGGCTGCAAATCCCTGCTGTTCATGCATAGTGAGTTTGTTATGGTTTGAGGACTTGAAACCACTGGATGCCTTGCAGTGACAGCAGGTTTATTGCTCAGAGGTGAACCCACGGTTGCTTGTTTTCTTCATAGGCAGAATCTGGATACTACAAGGACGAAGACATGAAGTGATGAGGCCCGGTTTTCTTGTATTCCTCTGTAATGGGCTGAAGACTTTGTCATGCCATCTGGTTGAATGGATAGCGTTTACTATATAATCCAGATTTTAATAGAAAGTACACTGTGAATTTTGCCATTATCACTGGATGATTTTGCCCATAAAGAGACAGGTATTTGATTCAGCAGTGAAGGAGTGGCATTATTTTTGTTTTCTGAACAGAAAAGACAACACAACAAATGAGGCAACATGGGGAATCAGCGGACTTCAAGGTTGAGTCAGCACAGTTCGGTTTGTCAGATTCTAAAATTATCACCACCGCCCCAACCCCAACTTTTGGAAAACAGAAATTCCAGCATAACATTTTTCCAGAAAATCACATCCTAGGGGGTGCACAAGGCAGTATAAACAAGCAAAAAAGAGTGGGTGTCTTGAAGAGGGCCAAGGAAGAAAGGAACCTGCTGTGAAACAATGTAGGCAAAGGCTTGTTGAAAAAGCCCACCATTTGTATCTTTTTATTACACTTCAGTGGGGGCTGATTGAGGCTGGTCGGGTTGGGGGCTGATTGAGGCTGGTCGGGTTGGGGGCTGATTGAGGTTGGTCGGGTTAGGGACTGATAGTAGCTCTGTACAACGTAAAAATCACACATTTGTAAATTCAGAAGGGAGAGTGTGGTGACCATTCTGACAGGCCAGAAAGTACAGCCTCCACTTCCAGCAGACACCGGAAACAAGACACTGGGGGGCTGGGAGGACAAGGTAGATGGAATAGGAATTTATGCTGAAAAGGTTGGCCAAGTATACATACTTAGCAAGTTATAGGATGAGCTATGAATATTCAAGAAGGGGGTGTGTGCATGGAGGGCGAACAAACATGCATGTTACATATGACCCATGTTCACTTGGAAGTAGAGTCAACATTTAAATACATTACAATTAAGCCGAAGTGTCAAAAGGTGAAGCACGGACAGGAAGGCTCTCAAGCGTGTAGCCAGTGTAACCAGAACCAGGTCCTGGGCTCTCATCCGGAGAAAGCTGCTGAAGTCCCTCTCTCGCTCAGTGAAAGCTGTAGCTCTGGCAGGTTGAAGGGGCAGGGTCAGTCAGTCAGCATCTAGCTCAATGAGCGGCAATTGTTTCAGTATTGCATAGCTTGAGGTCAATGCTTCTTTACCTGCGGAGAAAAAGATAAACCTTGCCCAGTTACAACACTGTTTCTTCTTTGACTGCAGGGCTGCAGGACTCAGCCCTTGTCTGGCATGGCCTTAGGTCTTGTTTATAATTTGGTATCTTGATGCCACCAAGAGTCAGTTCTCTCAGTATTACCGTCTCTACTTTAACCTCAATGCTGGGCTGTTGTTGGAATCTAAACCACAAAAGGGAAAGAGTATAATGAGGTATATCTGGCCTCCTGCTGGCTTTGGCTAAAAATTCAGCTTTTAAGGCTTCTTTGGGATCTTCTTGACCAAGACCAGGGAGGGGGTGGGGTCCACTCAGTCAGATAGGAGGCTGAAGATTTTTAGTTCTCAGAACAATGAAGACCTTATTCCCAAATTGGTTTCACCCAAATGATTAAGTGGGAGAACCGGAGATTCTCTCTTCTGTGGCAGAGCCAGGAGTTATCTCTTTTCCTATTGTTATGTGTGTGTGTGGGGGGCTGCCTAGGCATATTCAGGGAGCCCCATACTTGTTTGAAGAAGAAACAATGTTGTAACAGCCACAAGGATTCCTTCCGTCTCCCCCTACCTTCTTTCTTTCTGTCTGTCTTGCTCTGTGGTCCAGGCTGGAGTGTGAGCTCAGCTCACTGCAACCTCTGCCTCCCAGTTTCAAGCGATTCTCCTGCCTCAGCCTCCCAAGTAGGTAGGATTACAGGCACCTGCCACTACACCCAGCTAATTTTTGTATTCTTAATAGAGACAGGGTTTCCCCATGTTAGCCAGGCTAGTCTCAAACTCCTGACCTGAGGTGACCCTTTGGCCTCAGCCCTGCTGGGATTACAGGCATGAGCCACTTGCCTGGCCCACAAGGTTTTTCCTTGTCCCTGAAGCTAAACAGGCACTGGCTTCAGGTGTGTGGGCAGGCTGATGTGCCAAATTAACTAGATCAGAAGTTGGCATAGTTCCCCATTCCAGGCAGGCCCTCTTGATAAGCTGGGAAAGTTTTCTAGAGAGCGGTTCACAAACAGAATTAAAGGCTACTTGAGTAGATTCAGCATCCATGGGTCATCCAGAATTTTCTTTAAATATACTCTAGGGCCGACTGTAGTAGCTGTAAATGGGCTTGTCAGGTTCTTGGGTACAGGCCTGGATTTTATTCCAGTCTCAGGTTGGAGGAAAATACTCAAGAATAGACTTTTGGGGTGTTTGTTGTGTGTGTGCGTGTGCGTATGAGTGCGTGTGTGTGAGTGTACATGTGTGTGCGTGCGTGTGTGTGTGTGTGTGTGTGTGTGGTGTTTGTTTTGCCATGCCTTGGACTTTTTCTTAGTCTTTGGCATTTTTGCCTAACTATTCCGCAGGGTCATGCCAACAAGACTTGGCCATCCAGTGTCAAGCCTGGCTTTCACCAAAAAGTATGCGACCCAACTGGCGTAGGTTAGAAACACCAGCTGATAAACCTGAGCACTGTGCTGAATTCATCAGCAAATTGATGAGGGTCTTCAATGGCCTTAGGGAATTCCTTGGCAACAGCTTGAAATTCAGCCATGCTCTGTGGAACAAAATTAAATTTGGGTGTAGAAGAATCATTTGTGAATTTGAAGGGAAAGGTTCAGGGGTGGTGAGAGCTGAGGAATCAGAGGGAAAGGCAGTTCAGCCAAAGCAGAGTAGAGGGGGACAGAAGACAGAGAAGGAAAGTCTCTTCCGGAAAGAAAAGAGCCTGAGACCCTAAGGCCTCTCAGTTAATTTTGAGATCAGGAGGCTCTTTTTTTTTTTTCGAATCAGGGTCTGACTCTGTCGCCCAGTCTGGAGCGCATTGGCACAATCTTGGCTCAGTGCAACCTCTGCCTCCCGAGTTCAAGTGATTCTCCTGCCTCAACCTCTTGAGTAGCTGGAATTACAGGCATGCATCACTATGCCTGGCTAATTTTGTATTTTCAGTAGAGATAGCGATTTCACCATGTTGGTCAGGCTGGTCTTGAACTCCTGAGCTCAAGTGATCTGCCTGCCTTGGCCTCCCGGAGGGCTGGGATTACAAGAGGCTACCAACATCCCCAGCTAATTTTTTGTATTTTTAGTAGAGACAGGGTTTCACCATGTTGGCCAGGCTGGTCTCAAACTTCTCTGATCTCACATGATCCGCCAGCCTCAGCTTCCCAAAGTGCTGGGATTACAGGCATGAGCCACCAAGCCTGGCCTGAGATCAGGAGGCAATTTTAGAATCCTGAACGCACTTAGATGCTTTGAGGTACCAATTGAAGTATGCCTCTCATTCAGATAGTTTGATTTTAGGACCATGGTATTCTAATTTTGTCCTAAAAAAGACAAGTTTGGGGAACTCAAAAGACCTCCATAATGAAGAACAAAAGAGTAAATTTTTTTCACCGAAGAACAAAATTAGCCATCTGTCCATCCATTGACCTCCCTTCCTCCTTTTTTTGACAGAGTCTGGCTCTGTCGCCCAAGGAGTGCAGTGCCTCCATCTTAGCTCACTGGAACCTCTGCCTCCCTGGTTCAAGGGATTCTCCTGCCTCAGCCTCCTGAGTAGCTGGGATTACAGGCACCTGCCATCATGCCTGGCTAACTTTTGTATTTTTAGTAAAGACGGGAGTTCCGCCATATTGGCCAGGCTGGTCTCAAACTCCTGACCTCAGGTGATCCACCTGCCTCAGCCTCCCAAAATGCTGGGATTACAGGCGTGAGCCATCGCGCCGGGCCCATCCACTGCTTTTTAATTGTGCTCTAGAGAGGACCACCATTTTAGAACATGTAGCCAGCTGGAGTCCCAGAAGGGGAACGATTATTGCATCTTTTGGAATTTGGGGGATCTCCTTCTGCTTCTTATTAATCTCTCAAGAGCAAAAGAAAAATCCTGTAAGCCCTGTTAGAGAATGCTAGGGGGTTGACTGGTGTTTTGTTTTACAGTGTCCGATGTTGGTTTCACTTGGCAGACAAGCCTGTGCACTACGACCTGTAACTAGATTTCCCCTAGACGCACAGATTTTTTTCTAGACTGGCAGGCCCCCTAGTGGTCATCCGCGTACCAGTTTATCCTCAACACAGGCGGCTTTTTATTCGGAGACTAAGGTCCCTCGTAGAAAGGTGGTGACAGCCCTAAGGTTTCTTAAAGGGTGGCCTCAAGCCCACCATTTTTTTTTTTTTTTTTTTTTTTTTTTTTTTTTTTAAGGCTAGTCTTGCGCTGTCGCCCAGGCTGGAGTGCAGTGGCGCAATCTTGGCTCACTGCAACCTCTGCCTCCTGGATCCAAGCGATTCTCCTGCCTCAGCCTCCTGAGTAGCTGGGATTACAGGCACACACCACCATGCCCGGCTAATTTTTGTATTTTTAGTAGAGACGGGGTTTCAGTATGTTGGTCAGGCTGGTCTTGAATTCCTCACCTCAAGTGATCCGCCCGCCTCGGCCTCCCAAGTACTGGGATTACAGGCGTGAGCCACGCACCCGGCCGAGCCCACCATTTTTATAAAAGAAAGATATTCAGAAATAAAGAAGAAAAGTCTAGCAACAAATGGAAGTATGCACACACACAACAAAACTGAAACCCCAACTGCACTCACCGAGACCAGAAGAGAAACTTTGTTGCAAGAAAGAACTTGCCAGAAAAGAGAAAAAGTCTTTTCCAGCCCTACAAGGGATGCAAGATTCTTTGTGAAGGCACCTTAGCCCATGCAGACCCCAAATAAGGCCAGCAGTGCGCTGCTATGGAAGGGTGGAAGTTCGACCTGAAAGAAGATTTACCTGAGCAGAGAAAAGGTGACCCGGGGCGGTGGAGAGTGCAAAGGGCTTAACTATGGCACCTCCCCGGCTCCAGGAGCCGCCAGGCCCCTCCAAAAGCCATCTTGCCTCCCGGAGCGCTTCTGACACCAGATCAAGTCAACTTAAGAAAAGACTAAAGAGAAAACTATCTCCAAAGGTGATGAATTTATTGGGGATAGAAAAGAAAATTATGATCTAGAATGCACTATGTCAAGCCACAGGGGCATCCAGTGAGGGAAAGGTAAGAGAGGAAGCTTTTATTGGCAAAAAGCGAGGTGTTCACATAGCTGCTTGGAAACAGAGGTCCTTGGTTCTTCCTCTGGCTCAAAGCCAGATTTGCCATCAGTTCACTGATGGAGCTCGATGTTACTGGGAAGTGTTTTCTGTCTTTCTTTCTCTATTTTTTTCTTTATTTCTGTCTCCTTTTCTTTTTCAGATGCAGTTCCGCTCTTTTTGCCCAGGTTGGAGTGCAATGGCGCCATCTCGGCTCTCCGCAACCTCCGCCCCCTCCCCGGGTTCAAGCGATTCTCCTGCCTCAGCCTCCCGAGTAGCTGGGATTACAGGCGCATGCAACCATGCCTGGCAGATTTTTTGCATTTTTAGTAGAAACAGGGGTTCACCATGTTAACCAGGCTTGTCTCGAACTCCTGACCTTAAATGATCCTCCTGCCTCTGCCTCCCAAAGTGCTGGGGTTACAGGTGTGAGCCACCATGCCCCGCTGGAAAGTGTTCTTTCAAGAGCATCTTACCAGAATTGCTGCTGTCCTGAAGAATGCCTCGCAATAAGCCTAGTCATAGAGATCTGTGTACATGTGTAAAATGTGCAAGCCATGCAAAGAAGATGCATGAAGGATGTGAAGGGCTTTCTTGTGGGGCTTTAAGAAAGTCCTTGGAAACAGTTCTCATCTTAGACATGCAAGCATGAGTTCCTTCCACCGGCTTAGTGTTTCCTGGCACTATTCTGTCTGGATCTAACAAGAGTGACTTCATTCTGGCATAGCCATTTAATGGAATTTTTTTCAGCAACAAAAAGGAATAAATTACAGCTACAGCATGGATGAATCTCAGAATAATTATGCTAAGTTAAAGAAACCAAACAAAACAATATGTATGGTATGATTTCATGTATATAAAGCTCACCAACAGTTTGTCACACAAAGGATATATGCTAGGGGGATGGATACCCCACTCTTCATGATGTGCTAATTTGACATTGCATGCCTGCATCAGAACATCTCATGTACCCCA